AAACATAAAATCCGCGCGAAAAATATAAGGAAAAAGAAAATAAATAACGAAAAAATGAAAAATAAATTTGGTCCAAATATTTATCAATCAATTGATCGAAGCCGAGCGATGACGATGGCATGGGGCATCACTTCTTCTCAACTCTTTTAAGAGTTAGAAGATGTGTTTTTCTATATAAGCACAAGGATTTTCTTTCCATTTCCCGACGAGGGATAAAGTGTTTTAGTAAAAAGAACACTTCAAACTTTTCGTTTCCCTTCAACTCTGTTCCCTCCATTTTCTATTCACACCTTTTTATTGAGAATAAAAAAACCCAAAAATAAACTCATTTATCTACTTCATTCATCACAGAAGCTAAATTATTGACATGGATATTGTGGAGGTTAAGTATATTTCGACTTTGGCAGAATACATAAAATGACACCTGAACTTGTACCCAAATCCATGTTACACACCTGTTGACCACATGAATATTTTCAAACACTCAACCTTTCAAAATTGTATCTATTACACACCACTTTGATATTTGACCACTTCTTTTAAATAGGTGTATGTTATGCACCAATATCATCGTGACATGTGTTATTAAGTTAAAAAATAAAAAAAAGGTCTCCAACAAATTTTTTTTTTTAAAAAAAAAAAAGGAACCCAGGCAAAAAAAGAAAAAGAAAAGGGAACTCATCTTCTTCACAAGACCAACCACCATGGCTACGCCCACTTTCATCTTAATTTCAGCTACCAAAATTTTTAAAATCAAGCTTAGACTTCTTCAAGTCTAAGATCCAACACTTAATTCAAAACATTGTTCTTTGGCATTCTTCAACAAGTTTCAATCCAACTCTCAATTCATCTCCAAATAAGTTCCAACTTGAAATGAAGCTTCTAATCAACAACTAATTCAGTATCCAAATATCAATTTTAGTAAAAAAATAATTTTACATAAATAATTTTAGTATTGTTCTCTTGATTTTTCGAGCCAATATTTGCACTTTTTGAATCAAAAAATTTTGGGTCTAATTGAAACCGCACTTTCCGTGCCAACAATTTCATACCAATCTCTTGATAATCCGAAAATGCTTTATTTACTAGTTGAAAAACGAAAAAAAAGTTTGGAAAGTAACAAAAAAAATAACTAGAAAGAGGTTCTGTGAGCATTAGTGGAGGAAGAAAAATGAAGGAGATGAATAAAAAAGAAAGAAATGGGAAAAAGTTGGACATGTGGCGTTTTTATGAGGCTTCAGATACAAAACTTTTTAGTTCACTCGTCTTATTTGTGTGTAAAGGACGTGCATGCCATGTAGGAAAAGTGGTGTATAATAGATACAATTTTGAAAGGTTGAGTGTTTGAAAATATTTTCATGGTCAACAGGTGCGTAACAGGGATTTGAGTATAAGTTCAGGTGTCATTTTATGTATTCTGCCTTAGACTTTTGGTAACTTTGATGTGGTTTTGAGTTCTCTTATGGAAGTACACGGATCTGTTTATTGGAACAAGTTACGTAGCTCTGAAACTCTAATTTAAAGTGGCAGGATATTGTATTATGTTCTATAGCCAAAAAGAAATGAAAATGGTTACCTAACTGGGCATTGGCTAAAAAAATGCTGCACAATTAGATTCTCTTTTTCAAATGTGGATGATATACAGCGCTTTATATTATGGATAACAATATCAAGATACTAGGATCTTTAAATCTCAAATTTGCAAAGGAAAGATGACATTTCAAGGAATTTTATGCATAAGGGGAATAAGCGTATGAGACTACCTTCAGCATTCTGCATCTCCACCTTAAGTGGCATGAGAGCCATATGATTGCCAAATAAATCGCGGCAAAATTCCTTATTTTTAACCCTACATCCATCTCCAAATAGTAAATGCGCTGATAAGCTCAAATGTCCGCTTATTCAGCAAGTTGAATGATGATAAATATTGCTGATAACTTTGGTATTTTAATATTTTATGCTCAAAGCACAATTTAGTGGCACCTTAGTAGCTTAATTAGGTGCTTCTGCCTCATTAAACTATTGATTTCTTGCCAATGTATTTGCTTACACGATAGAAACACCGAACAATTAATACCCACACGATTTCGACTTTTTAAAACTATATACTTTCTGGAGAAATATTTCAAATATTATGACTTTCTGTGGATGCTCTAGATCTAATAGATGCAGTGGAGCACTCCGTTTAATAGTTAACAAAAATTAAACCTCAAGCTGCTCGTTTAAGTCAATTGAACAACTCCACTTTAACTTGATGCTCCTTTTGGTTGGAAACTAAAGACGAATCTTGTACATTTTCTATTTTTTCTTCAAAGTACAAACTGAAGTTGAACGTATAGGTACTTTTATTAACGAAATTCCCATGAGCTTTATATTTCCTGTATTAATTACATAACATGACAAAATTTAAGCTGGGACTTCATTTGCCTAGTTTTTCCTAAATTTTTATATATATTCTATAGTCAATTTGTGTGGTAATCGAATAGAACTTATGCGATGAACTCTTAGGGCCATGATTTTTGGAGAGAAGCAAAAGAACAAGCATCTATATGACCCTTTATAATATCATTTACTCTAATTTTTTTTTTTTTTTAAAAACAACTTTGTCTACTGAAAATTAAAGTAATGAAACTCTTTAAATGTTGTCTTTAATAAAATTATCAGCAAAAAAAAGGAAACTAAAAGTGAAACAGAAAGCAGAACGATGGTGATGATTGCATTGATGCTATCTTTTTGTATTCACTAAGCTTCTAATTAAAGCTAATAATGTTTGCCCACGCAATTTTCCATAAATATAGATATTCCAAAGTACATCATGGCAATGCTAAAAGTAGCCTATCACTAAGCTTGTGAAGACTCTAGTGTTTGAGTAAAATTTTGGTACCTCATCAAGTCTAAGTTACTACTTATGATAATCACCAAAGTGAAACCAATTAATCATTTATTTGTTTCACATCAAGTAGAGCTATTTTCCTATTTCTTACTTATTTCTTAACAAATACTCGAACTTAAAGAGTTGAATTTCGATGGACCAAAAGGGAGGCCGGCGCGCTTCCACCAAGAAAATGGAAAAAATAATAAAGGAAACCAGCTATGTCCATTTATAAGTAGCTCATTACAATAATTGGTCAATTCATAAAATATTATTAATATTAGCAAAATATTACTAGTAATAACCAATTAGTTATTTGTAGCCAAAATAATATCAAATTTTTGCTTTCTTTTGAGTGGGTGTTAGAATAGATTGAGTACATCTTAAGGAGCTTAAATCTCGATTTTGGGATGATTTGGTGTAATTTTGAGGTGGTTTGAATTGAAAATTCGAAGTAAAAATTGAACATGAATAAAAATGATGTGTATCATACTGTGTATCATTTGTATATCACATATGTATCATATTTGTATCAATTGTGTATCACATGTATATCCATGTATACCTGTGTGTAAGATACATGCGTAATATATGTTTGTTACATCGCAGAAGAATTTTTTGAACTCGATTTAATTACGAATTTTGATACAAAACAAGTCCAAATCACCTCCAATCTTTCTCAAATTTTGTATATTGACTTATCTACATGTTATCAATGAATTTCAATTATACCCATTTTAAAAAGTTCCCTTTTTGCTTTGATTTTTGGAATATTTTTTTTTTGTATTTCGTCACCTTATTTGCTACCTCATCTATGAATTTTTCTTTCGTCTTGCATCTAATGTTGCTAATCACACTTAAAAATATGGAAGGTAATTTTTGCGTGTGATTCTTTGAGAGAAGAACCTTATTTATTTAGTTTTTCAATTTTTATATGTGCTTGGTTAGGTTTGATAAGTCTATGACTAATGGCCAGAGGTCGGTAAGTTGAGACTTATCTCGGACTTTTGTGTAAGTTTCCCAATTAAAAATGTCTTTTCATTCTGCTAGATTATTGTTGGATTTTACAAAAGTTGTTTAATAGACCTTTTAAGTTTAATGGATTTTCCTAGTTTTTTTTTTTAAAACAGAAAATTCATTCTTCGTTATATATCTAACGAAAGACTCAGCAATCTATAATGGCTAGCTTTAGAAAATGAATGAAGATGTAATATAAACTAGTGCAAAAGTTAAAGGAGAAGGGAATGAGGAATTGAGTTCTGGCTTCTCTTTGCCTTCTGATGAAAGCAGTTCAATTTAACCATTAGAAGAGGAAAAGAAATATCCGTTTCTCTCCTTCATCTACATCCCTCCATTAATCATTAAACGAATATGTAAAATTGAAAATAAAAAAAGTCGAAACGCCGTAAAAGTTCCACTAACTTATTCCAGACATATTTAAATATATATAAACAAATGGAAAGTTAGATTTCCAACCAAATGAATTATTCCTTCATATCTTTTGTTTTAAAGTAATGGTAGTGCCAGCTAGATGCACAAATAACAGATACAAACAGCTAGCGTTAAAAGCTCCTTTTATCCCTCATTTCAACTAAATTCAGCTATAAACAAAATTCCTTTTTGTAAACTAACTAGCATAATGAGAAAAAAGAAATCTTTTTTAAAATTTATCATATTATTCCTAACGAGTAATCAACAAGCTTTGATCATAATTATTCTTCAATAATTATAATACCCCTAGACGCATACAGTGGTCCCAAATATTGGCCAAAGCTGCATCATTTTGCATGAGCTGGTCCATTTTTAAAGGGTCACTTAATTCCTTTTCCTTCTCTTTTTGCATTCTTTATTTTTTGTTTTCCATCATCATCATCATCATATTTTTTTTTTGGCCCTCTTTTTCATTTTCATCCCCCACTTGTCTAGGGTTTTGATAAGGGGATGACTAGTGGAACATACAATATGTGCTCAGAGTTTACGTCATATACACCGTCAGTTTCAAGAGTTTGTTTTTTTTACACCATCAGGCCATCCGAAGGATAGCTTAATGTAAGCTTCTTTAAAATGTAAGATTTGTAATCATAAAAATAAGACAGATTAATTACCTGTTAAATATAACCTGATAATGTAAAAAACAAAAATTATACTAACGGTGTATATAACTTAAACTCTAACTCTTTTTGTGATTAATTTATCTGTTGTTGGCTTCTTGTCTGGGCCTCTTCATTATCTGAATGTTCCTCCAAATGTTGGTGTCCAAAAATCTACTGTCGTTTCATGAGTTACGGGAAAGGTGCTAGAAACTGGGACCAAACATAATCCTCGACTTCTAAGATCTTGCTTTGCTCCTTCTGGATTAACATTGGATCTATCACCAGTACTCTGCAGACAGAATGTAGATAAACCACCTTTATTTGCAATCCACGATTAATACTTAATAGTCTCGGTGTAAAGTAGCACTATTAGGAGTCGTTTGGAATATGATTTATACCGGTATAAGTTATATTAATTGGGATAAGTTATGCTGGGATTAATTATGCTGGGATTGTTGTTTATTTATTGTTTAGTATATTGTATTAAGAATGACAATTGCATAATTTATAACACGAATGTATAAGTTATATCGGTGCTAATTACCCCACCTTCTATAAGGTATAAGTTATCCCGGTGTTAAAACTAACACTAGAATAACTTATACCTGGTTTGCTAACCAAATAAAGTATTAAGGTGGTATTAAATTTTTATACTACCCTTATACCTTCTTATACCTCATACCAAACGACCCCTTAAAGAATAACATGTAGTTTTACCTGCTGATGTTGCTGCCTGGAAGCTCCACTTTTCATGTATGGGGTGCTTAAGACCTGTTATGTGACATGGTTAAAAGAAATGCTTAATATCAATGTGGTATAGTTTGCTATATTGAAAATGGAATTTGAAATATAACTACGTATTAAAACTTGTCCATTCTTTTCCTATTTGAGACTAAATCAGTTGTCCCTGTTATATATATTTCCTCTTTCCTAATTTATATGCCACACTTTCTTTTCATTCTATCCCAAAAAATAAGATCTTAGAATGACAATTTTTATAGTATTTAAAAATAACATAATTTTAAACTTTCGGTGTGACACTTATTAAGATGATTTATAACTAGTCATTGTCTATAACTTATTTTAGACTACAAGTTTCAAAAGCCTTTCTTTAATTTGATCTTTTTTAAATTATGTGCTAAGTCTATCACATAAAAATTGGGGTCAATTGGTTTTTTGGCTCTTTACATATTTGTTTTTAATTTTATGACCCTACCTATTTTTTTTTTTTTACACATGAGAGATTTACTTTTATACATAAGAGATCTGTCTTTCACACATAAGAGATCTGAAAAAAGATATATTCTCAAATTCAAAATTGTAAAGGGGCATGATGTACAAATTCAGAGGGCGTAGTATTTATATAGCAATATATAATATTTCTATTGATCATTTATAACTTGGACGGGGCTTGGGGACTTGAAAATAAAAACACACTCCGTAATTATATTTTTTTCGTTATTTTTTATAGTAATTATTATTAGAAGTTAATTTCCAAAAGATACATATGTACTGAAAAAGTTCAAATCTTTTATGAAAAATCACTCTTTTGAGATATTGATAATACCAAGTTGAAAGCCTTGTACTATCTCGTACTCCATATGTTTCACTTTACGTGAACATATTACTACTAGAAAAGTTAAACAAACTATTTCTTACCATATTGTTGTGCAAAAATATTTTAAATTATTAACTATTTTGACTTATAGTACTTTAATGTAGTTTTTAAATATGTAATTATATTTCAAGAAAATTGTAAATTCTATGTTCAAATTCACCCCAAAAACTAATCAGTTTTACCGTCGTACTTGGAAAAGATTCAGAACGGAAAGAGTATATGCTTCTTTCTTTCCCTATCATATTCTAACCGGGTATTGACCATGAGATGCAGTATTTTGCACTGAATTAAAGGAAAAGAATAGCTAGCGAGAGCAAAAGCAAATTGAAGAAAATAAAGGCTAACTCTGAAAAACTTACATTGACTTGCTCATGGAGGAATTTTATGTACTCAATCGCTTCGGAGAGCACAGAAGCTGTATCAGTCTGGGGAAAAACAAAATCAAGATTTAGTGAATGAGAGTATCTTTTTGGTGAATTCAGAAAGTTAATGGTCTCTCTCAGTATACACGACATATGATATTCTTTATGTAAAGTGAAAGAAATTTTCAGGCGCAGCTTTAATTTGTTACCTTTCCAAAAGGTGAGACTAATTGTTGAAGGGCAGTGATTCTGTCTCCCATCTTCTCTTTCCTCACCTGAAAAAATCAAGAACAAAGAAACATATTCTCATATTAGGCTATGATAGAATAATTTAACAAATAAATCCAAAGCCCCATTTTTTCGTTAAAAATTCATGCACATATATACCTTAAAAGCTGGCATTTGAGATGGCGCTTCATTCCGTGGTCTCTTATTTGACGTTTCACTGCCACTTCTCTTTGCTATTGTTCTTATATTCTTATCTTCAGCTGTATGCTGTAGCACGATGAATGAATCAATATTAGTACTACATGTTTTTATAAATTTACCAAAAGGTAAAATCAAAATCCATATATCGCATAAAAATTGAGTTCTAGTTAGTACTACCTCCGTTGTATTTTTTTATAACACTCTTTATTTTTTTAGTTTGTTTAAAAAAGAATGATAACATCTATATTTAAAAACTCTTTTATATTAAAGTTTTTGTTTTCTCTGAATTACATTCTCTTGGAATGTTTAAGAATGACTAGTTATGAGGAGACTTTAACTGGTATATGTGAAAAGTCTTTTTTTTTTCTTATAATTCGTTGTTGTCGCATAAAATGAAACGGAGGCATACTACTACGTATTCGATTACCTTTGGTTTCGTATCAACTGGGTTGGGAAGCTGCTGATGTATAGATGGGAGGTGGAAACCTGAGCGAACATCGTCCATGGAAGCTGACGTGGCATTCCAGAAAGGAGTGCCAGAGAAATGCGACTGGCCGTGAGGCAGCGGCATCGGCCACTGCTGTTTCGGAAATTTAGACCAAGAAGAAGATGAAGATGAAGCGGGCATTACGTCAGCTGCTGCATGATTGACGTCACAATTCGATGGGTTATAGGGAGGATAATATAGCGATGTAGCACTTGTAAAGTTGGATTCTTGGTGACTATCAGAAATTAAGAGTCCTTGTAACATATTTGAAGGACTTCCATAAGGTGCTTTATCAAGATTTGAGCTCATATTTGGAGCATTAAATACTGGTTGATGATCTAAAGAAATACCCCGGTCCATTTGCTTATTATTATAGTCATTCCCAGTATATATTTTCTGCGTCCAATGATGATCTTGCTGACATGATCCTTCTTGCTGATAATTTGCATCCGAGCTCAGCCCTTCTTCAAGTATGGAACGAAAGCCACTCCCAGCTTTTTCACCGCGGCTGCAAATGAGAATTAATTAATAGGAAAATAATTCAAAACATATCCTAAGTGGAACATCAATTTAATTAATCGCGGTTGGACAAACTACGGACAACGGTTGAGTGTATTGTCTGTGAAATTTAAATGAACTTAAAATTTTCAACACACAACATAAGTATATATTTAAAAAAATATATCAAATTTTGAATGCAAAATTATAAAAGTATAATAACAAGAATCCTGAAGTCAGCTGCAAATTTGGATCACCATATATATATATATATAATAGTGGTACTTACAAGAAAGGTTGGTTCCAATCAAGTCCTTGGGATGGTAGACCTAAGCCCATGACTTGCAAATTTAGAGCACCAGATTCAGAGGCGTGGAGTTTCTGGGGATCAGCTGGAAAAACCATAGAGCTACTATCAGATGCCGACACAGACACAGGATTCAAGGAAGATCTAGCTTTAATATCCTCAATTTCTGTCGGCCAACAACCAAAGTTGCTTGCCATGCTATTTAGTGCGGTGGATACTGAAGACATAGTAGTAGTAGTAGATGATAATATTCCACTTTCAAACTTATTATTCCTAGACGATGATGTTGTTGTTGTTGTTGATGATGACGACTCCCACCAGTTTCCTCTACCTAGCTGAAATTCTTCTGCCATGGCTCCTTTCAAGATCACAAAAGTTGAAAAAAAAAATTTGAAAAATTTTCAACTTGAGCTTATAAATTACAAGCACCTTATAAAGTTTTCCCTTTTTCTGTGGTACGTAATGACCAAGCTAGAATATAGAGCTAGATTCTTCTATTCTGGAATTCGCTTTGCTTTACTCGATGGCTTTAATTTGTTGTTTGGCTCTTCTTTTTTTTTTATAAAAGAAAAAGCTGAAAAATGAAATGACTTCGTTTCGCTGCATATATTATAACTATTTATAGTACCCCTAACTCAAAGTGGGAAACTATTTTGAGATTATGGGATTCAAAAATGACCACAATTCGGTTGACTTTTCGTGACTGATTAGACATGTATTCACGCACCTTTTAGGCAGTCGAATTTAATTTCCTGCTTAGCCAAATAGAATTAAGCATTTAATTTACTTTTACCTTTGCTGAATTAAAATAAGAAAGTAAAACTTATGTTCCTATTTTAGTAGTATTATCTTTTATAGTCAGCAGCACTCGTGCCTTTTTCTCCTCCGCTTTAACTTTTGACTTTAAATTATTTTCAATTTGGGGTTTATGTATTTGCTTCAAAAGCTAACAATGCCAAACAAGCTTTCCCATGGACTGTCGAGTCAATATACCATTGACAGTAGCAGACAAAAGTTTACACGTCACACCCACAATACTCTTTGGCCGATGTTCATAATTTACAAAAATCATTAACCCCATTTAAAGTAGAACTCTATTATTCTCTGATTAATAAGCCACACCACTATTTTTTCTTATAAAATTGCGAGAGCATAAACTTAGACCATGCAAGTATATGGACTATATTATTTCAGCAAAACGAAGGGGATATATTAGATGTCTCAAGTTTGTGTCATGCGAACAAAGTTGTTTTTGGTAAGAAATGCTTTACTCTGCAAATAGAATTTTTCAGTATGAATATAATTAGCCGAGCCCAAAATAGGTATCGAAATTGTTGCGGAATATCGTGGGTTAACTAGCACACAATCAGACACAAAACAAATAGAGAAGAAAAATCAACACAATGATTTAATGAGGTTCGGCTAAGCTTAATCCTCGGGGCAAAAGCAGAGAGTGTTTTCTACTATGAATGAGAAGAAAAGTAAAATACAATCTATAGAATCCTCAACTACAACTCCTATATATATATATATATATATATATATATATATATNATCCGATTAATATAGTCGTCGCATGAATAACTTATATAGGTTCCTAGTGACTGACCAAGTTGTCTGAAGCCCTTTAGGTCCCCGTATGTGTTATTTATTTGAACGACTGATTATTACCTGTTATAATTAGTATAGTCGACTCGATAAATGTCGTCGATTAGTTTTCTATAACTAATGAATCAAACGAGCTAATAATGTCGCATGACTAATTGAACGTTGCCACTAACTGAATGCCCCAGCATGGTTTAAAATGGTTTGTTTGCATTGTAAAAATGACTGAAAAGGTTCAGCCCAGGCAGCCTTGAATTCGAACTTTCATCAGTTCAAAACTGCCCTGATGCTGCAATAGGCAGGGCAGTAATAATCAAGGTTAAGCAGGGGTGTTCTGGGGTGTCAAAAAGGACAGAAAGATTAGTTTAAATGAAGCTGACAAGTAGGGTAATAATTAAGATTAAACTAATACTAATGGGAAACAAGACACAAGGGTATGGGGCTTAAAATGAATAAATAAAATGAGCCCATAATTCTAGATTAAACTAAAACCAGGCGTGGGGAACAAAGGGGCTGGCACCAAAAGATGCTTAGGCATGGGCTTTAACAGGGTATGGGCAGTCTGCAAGTTGCAGCATGAGGGGCAGCTTAGCTGCACTTGGTCACTTTGGCTTATAAATAGGCCATTCGAGAACTAAAACAAGGGCTGGACTTTTAGTCTTCAGAAAAAAGAAGAATTTTGAGTCTTGAGGCTGGAATCTTTAAGTCTTAAGAAAGGTTTGTAAGTTAAAAGAAAAGATTGAAAACATAAGAGAGTTCCAGTAAGACATTGCAACCAAACATTGTCTGAAAGTTGTATAAGAGTGCATTTTGGTCAAGCTGTCTTGGCCAAGTTCTGTGTTTGCATTGACTGAACTGTTTCTGGTTGTTGAATTGGTAGTGTTGCTGCATTGAATACTCTGTTGTTGCTGTTTGTTTCATCATTCTTTTCTGGGTTCACTGGTTTTGTACTCGACTATTTGTTGGTTCTCTTTGGTTCTGGGAAATATTGTTGGTTGTCTGAGGGCTGT